TGATTATTAAAATCCAGCCAAACCATGTTGGTATTAAACGTCAGTGCATCAACATTATTTTCTCCAGCAGTTGTTTCATTAGGAGCTATTTCTTGGCGAAGACCTTCATTAGTCATTGTAGTATTGTTGCTCCTGTAAAATTGTGAGTTGTTAGTGTTGTCTTCCTCTTGTTTATTTCTAACTCATGACTCATGGAATCAAAAGGATATTGCCTTGGTTGATTCATAGCCATCATTGGATTAGTAATCATGTTATGATGTTGTAATGGTCGAGAGACTGGCTCAACCAAACCATGGGAAGTCATCATTTGGAAACGAATTGAATCCATTTCCAAATGAGGATTTCTGTTGCTATTGATTCTTTGGTATAGACAATAGCTTCTATGGTTTGGATTTTCGTTCCCCATTTGTTGGTGTATTTCAGGTTTAGACGGTTTGGGTGGAAAAACCCAATGATCAAATAAATAATAACTTTTACTCACCTTGAAAATATCCACGTTGATTCTTCTTGTTACTTCATCTGTCCTTCCAGCTCTCTCATTATCTTGACCAACAAAAATATCATTTGTGTTGGTCTTAAACTCTTTGATTTGTCTTTCAAATGGAAACACTGGTGGATCGCGAAGAGGAGGAAACTGCATGAAATCTAATTTCTTCCTACAAAGTAGGATAGTATCCCTTGAGAAAGATAACAAGTCATAGATCTCACTTAAGTTAAGATCAGCAAGTCTACGATTGTTTTGTAGTTGCATCATCAGCTCATCAATGATATAATCCTTTTTCTTCTTATTACTCTTCATCAATTGTTCATGAATATTCTCTGTCTTCTCCTTTAGGTAAGATTCGACACTTGACTCTTTTTTCTTCTGCACCAACTTTGGTAAAGCAAAAAATTTGCCTAGGAGACCATGAGTTGTCTCAACAGATGGCCAAACCATTGGTTCAGCCTTATTTGGGCTGAAAATGATTGCAAGAGCCCTTACATCACACAATATGGTTAGTTCTTTCACCTTTTTAAGTAATCCTACCCTCATTTTTTGCAAACTTGTTGCTCTTGACTTGGCGTTCTTAACCCATGCAAGTTTTACTTTTTTTCTTGTCATGGTCACACTTTGATTTTAGTTTTTTTCTTTTAAAATTTTAAATGTTGTTGAGTATATGAAGAAAGATTAATGCGCAAATTCATTTAAATAGAATTGAAATAAAGAGATAAGATTTTAGACATTGATACTAGTCAAAAGAAAGAGATAAGATAGATGATTTGTAAAGATGTAAAATTAATTACTAGTTACTAAAAAGTATTGAATGTATATTAGATGTAAAATTAATTACTACTTACTAAAGATGTATAATTTTCTTAAGAACTGAATTCAAAGCTAAATTAAAATTCTACCAAAGTATATTAGATTTGGTTTGGTTTTACATTGATTATTCTTTTTAAACCTTACTAGTAAACCAAAACTAAAATCCGAGTTAAACCATTAAAATGTTAAAATCTTTATGTGGCTGTGTTATTACAAGAATTGAACTTATTGAATTTCTGTCCAAATTTATAGTCCTAGTCAATATATTAAATTAATGATTTAATTAATTGTTCTGTCCTTTTTAATGCTAATAATTATATTGGCTACATTATTTTCATTATTGTGCAGCATATTAATTAATAGTTTTTGACAATTATGTTGGAAACTAAATGTTGACTATACATTTTCTTCAATAGAAGTATCATTTTAATCTTTACATACAAATTAGATATATATATATATATATATATATATTACCATATATATATACATAAAAGTTGACTCTTGAATTCTTTATTTATTATTTTCTATTATTTTAAATGTTTTCTTATTAAATGTTACATTACGATTCTAAATTGATAATTCTTTATTTTGTTAAAATCTGAAAGAAAAATAATTTTAAAATAAAAAGAGCATAATATATTTTTAAATAATGGACATCTCGTATCTTTTTTTTTTGGTTTAACGATCCTTTTTTTCCTTGTTGTTGTGTTGTTGTGTGTATTAATTCTCTTTGTTTCTTGATTTTGTTTTTTTGGATTCGGTTTGGTTTACATTCTACTTCTACCAGATTTCAATAATACTACTATATTGAAAAAAATAAAATAAACCTAAGCTTTATTCCTTACTAGATTAAGACATGCCCGATGTGTGGGTTTTGAAGTTTTTAAATTAAATTAAATTTAACAAAAAATAATTTAAAATTATGTTATAAGTAGAAACAATCTTTATGAATAATTAGGGTTAGATAACTTTTTAGTTAGAGAAAATAGTTTATTTATATACTCGTTTTTGTCTTAATACACTAATTTGAATTTCCATATTTTAAATTTATTGTAAGATTTATTACAATAATCTAGTAAAGTTAAATTATCAATCACCAAGACTTTTGTCAAATATTCATTAATTATTATTGTTATTATTGTCAAATTTCAAAAAAAGTAGTTTCGCAATCTTGCCTAAATTATGATTCCACAATCTTTTCAAAACACATTTTATATGAAAATCATTGGTCATGCCGTCATCTAATTTACATCGATTTATAAATCTATTATTTACTTTAGAACTAAAAATGTGTTTTTGGGTTTCTATGAATACATTAAGCCGACTATATGTTTTTCTTTACGTCCAACTATATTTCTCTTTACTTTCATTTTTGTATAGTTTCTTTTACCACTAAAATTATTGACTCAAAACAAATATTTCAAATAAAAAATATATCACATAGCAATAATTTATGGTGTATATATAAGAAAACTAAAGAAATAAAAAACTAATTGATTGAAATGAGTCTATGACCAATTGAGAGATTAAAAGAAAATTAATTTGACATAACTAAAGAAAAAATAAAAAAATATAAACACAATGATATATGAGTTTTAGATAATTCAAAGATGGAAATAAAAGTTAAAATAACCGATCTAAAAATATTATCATTAAATTAAAAATATTAGAAGAAAAAAAGAAGAAGCACATATTGATCTTACATAATTCTAATTGAAAAATAAAATTCAAAAATAATATAATTTTAAGTCATCACATTTTCTAATTACAAAATGAATATATAATAGAAAATTTTAAATGAAATCCTGAAACATGTCGCAATCTAAAGCTATTTGCAAGATGATAAATCTTATATAACTTTGAACTGAAGTAGAAATTAAAATAAATAAGGGAAATGCCCCTTTTTCTATGGATTTTTTCGAAAATACCTCTTTATGTTGTCCATTTTCAAAAATACATTTTTTATATACAAAATGACTAAATTATCCTTATTTTCGTGAGAGCAGATAATGAGAAAATGAAAATTTCCTGCAATTCCTTATAAACCCTTTGTAAATCTTTTAAAACTCTTGTAAATCATTTTAAAACCTTTTATATAATTAATTGTAATATTTTCACTTATAGGATTTGTAATTTATTGTATAATTTTGTTTTTTACATGTTTCAAATATGATCGATAGATTTGACACGTGTCGCGGTCGTATGAGTTACTAACTATAAAAACCAAACTTTTATTTAATATATTTGTTGCTGATATATTTTATTAGTTGAAGATATAAGAATGATTTGAGGCTAATTGTTCTTCTTAAATTATCTGTAATACGTTCTTGATGAAAGACTGATTGCTAAAAACCGGTATACGAGACTAGTTGGAGTGAAAAGATATATGTATTCTTCTTTATGTTTTTGTTCATAAATTCATAGGCTTATCTATTATGCATACATTTTGTCCAAAAAAAAAAAAAATCTATTATGCATACATATAAGAGCCTAAAGGAACATGAGTTTGGGCATTACGAAAATGATTAGGAAAAAAGTTAAAGGGTTAAATGTTAGCTGTTATACCAAAAAGAAAAAAAAATAGGTGAATTAACCATAAAACCAATTATGAGAACAACAATCTAACCATATAATAAATATGATTATATACATAATATGGTAATTACCATATTATGTATATAAACTACAATATGTTCTTTATGTGAGATGTTGAGCTAAAAACAAAAACAGAAAAACTTCAACTAATTATGCTTTGACTATATATAATCGAAATAGATTGGTTCGTATTAGATTGGATCACTCCAAATCCTTAAATGAAATTCAGATTCAGGGCTCTTAACATATGACTATTTTCCCAAAGTAGTTCATTATCTAGATGTATCATCTACGTAAGTATGATGTTACAGATCGACTTACATGCATTGAACAAAACAAAATTGTGATGTTTGAACAAATCGACTACACAAATAAATAGTAATGTTGTAAAATAATACGGGTTGTCTATATATATAAACAAGACATTCATAATTTTATGATTACTGTTTAATCTTAATTACCCATGATTTACTTATGTACAATAATAATACGAGCAGTTAATTAGAGTACGAACCAACTATCAATTAAGAACCAAACATAAATTGTATTTTGGTTATTTTAATTTGTATGAGCTTAAGCCAAAACAATTCTAGTAAAAGCTAAGTCTAAAATCAAATTTAATAACGAATTTTATGACTCAAAAGCAAACTGAAATTGTTTTAGACATCTTACGATTAATTCTCTAACTAAGTTCCAAGAGAATGATCAAGTGCTACAACCTACAAGTGATATAGAAATGACCTGAAGCCTAACGTTAGTGATTAGTTATTATTTTTTCCATTTTCATTCTAACTCTTCTGATTAGACCACATAAATTATATTCATCATTTAACATAAAGAGTAAATGATAGGAAAAGTTATTTTACAAAAAAATAAAATAAAAATTAAAAACAGTAATTTTGTCCCTTATTAAAAGAATAATAAAATTATATAGATAATAATATATTTTCAGCTACTTTCTTAGAAAATTTAATGTTAAAAATTATCTATTCATTAATTTTCTATGCTATGTTTAGTATAAAGTGTTATTTTTTGGTTAAAATAAACTAATATAAATCCCATATACGAACCCAAAAGGAAATATCCCAAAGTCAGAAAAATGGTCTCAAAGAGAAAGTTAAGAACTTCAAAGTTAGATTCTTGTATCCATCTATGTTCTGTTTTCTTCAGATCCTTTTTCTATACTCTTTCTGCATTTCTCTTCTTCTTTCTTCTTTACCTTTGGTTATCTTTCAACAGCGTAATTTCCCACAACAACTTCCACATATGTATCTTCTCTCGGAAGTTCAACGATCCTTATTGTAACACGGCTGGTTCTAAACCCGGTTTTCAAATAAGCTCTGAAGAAAATGAAACTTTCACCGGAGAGACCGCAGGAGATAGAGTTTCCGGTGATCCCACGAAGATTTTTCGCAATGAAGATAAAAAAGGGTATGACGATGTTCTAAAACAAGTAGACAAACACAAGAATCTTGATTCCGTTCTTGGTGATAAAGACGGGTTTCTAAAGAATGATACTTTCACCGGAGAGACCGCCAGAGATAGAGTTTCTAAGGATCCCAACAAGATTCTACGAAGTGAAGAAAAAATGGAGTATGATGTTCTTGAACAAGAAGAGAAACCCAAGAATCTTGATTCAGTTCCTGATCAAGAACACAAACCCAAGAACAAGGTGGATCTCAGTTCACTCATTGACCTAAAAGCCGAGGAAGAATACAGAAAATACATCAAACCGAAGAGTGAAGAAGAGGGATATGCGCTAAGGGCAGTCATCAAGTATCTTTACCTACAGAGATCATGGCTATCTCCGGGAGATGAAAACCTTGATAAACCGCGATCGTGTGAAGGTAAAGGGGTTTATGTTTATGATTTACCGTCAAAATTCAACAGAGATTTGTTGGTTGGATGCAACGATATACTTCCAGGGGTTGACTTGTGTAGTTACTTCAAGAATGAAGGCTTTGGAGAAGCTATTAAGAATCTTGGTAAAGGTTGGTTTGCAACACACATGTATTCTCTTGAGCCTATCTTACACTCTAGGGTTTTGAAGCATCCTTGTAGGGTTTACAACGAAAGCCAAGCTAAGCTTTTCTATGTCCCATACTATGGCGGTTATGATGTTTTGAGATGGCACTATAGGAATGTTTCTGAAGATGTGAAGGACCGGTTGGGGATAGAGGTTTTAAAATGGCTTGAATCAAAGGAATCATGGAGGAGAAATGCCGGGAAAGATCATGTGTTTGTTCTAGGAAAAATTACTTGGGATTTCAGGAGAGATAAGGTCCCTTGGGGCTCAAGGTTCCTTGAGCTACAAGAAATGCAAAACCCTACCAAGCTACTCATTGAAAGACAGCCGTGGCAGGTCAACGATATCGCCATTCCTCACCCAACTTATTTCCATCCGAGAACAGATGACGATATCACCAGCTGGCAGATCAAGATCATGAGTAAACCTCGCCCGCATCTAGTAAGCTTCGCCGGGGGTGCAAGACCCGAGAACCCTGATAACATCCGATCAACGCTAATCGAGCAATGCGTATCTTCATCTTCCAACCAATGTCGGTTCTTGGATTGTACAAACGGAGGCTGCAAGAATCCAAAGAATGTTCTTGATTTGTTTCAAGATTCGGAGTTTTGTCTGCAGCCGCCTGGAGATAGTGCAACAAGGAGATCGGTATTCGATTCACTAATCTCCGGTTGTATTCCTGTGATCTTTACTCCGTACACGGCTTATTACCAGTACGCGTGGCATCTTCCTGAGGATCATCGGAGGTACTCAGTGTATATAAGCGAACAAGATGTGAAGGAAAAGAGAGTAAATGTGGTGGAGATATTGAAGGCAAAGACTCTAAGGGAGAAAAAGGATATGAGAAGTTACATCATTCATCAGTTGTTGCCTGGTTTGGTCTATGGAGACTCTAATGCTAAGTTTGAGAAGTTTCGAGATGCTTTTGATATTACTTTTGATAGTTTGCTTGAGAAAATTAACAAATCGGAATGAAATATGGATGAGCGATCTTGAATTGTAATCTATAATATATAGTTTCATCATATGGATGAGCGATCTTAAATTATAATCTATCTTACACATTTTCCATATATACTTTTCATCAATAAATTAAATTATAACTTTTTTTGGTCAACCTAGCTAGTTATTGATGTTTACAACTTCTTTTTATTGATGTTTTTTTGTCACACTTTTTTTCAATGTTTGCTTTTATTTCTTTTTTTTTTTTTTTTTTAGAGTCTCAATTTTTGAGAAAGATACCTGGATTTTATTGTATCAAAATATATTAATACTACTTACATAAATTTCCCCTAAAGGAAAAAAATCTAAAGGTAAAAGGAAAAACATATTCCCAAACCACAAAATCAAAGAATAAATATCAACTATTCGTCTATTCCTAAGTATTTTCAATAAATATCAAAAACTAGGATATGACCCGTGGTATACCGCGGGTTAATTATTTGATTTTTTAAATCATTTTGTAAACTGATGAATTTGTTGTTTATAATATTATTTGTTGTATACCGCGGATCACATGCGTTGTAACTAAAAAATAAAAATTTTAAGTTGTATTTGTTTAGTTTAGTGTTTAAGATTGTATAATTGTATTTTGATTTGTTAATTATAGGATTTTACCCGTAGTATATTGTCCGTATTAATATCGATCCAAACCCGTCTCACTATATATTCCCGTTTTGTGAAATTAAACATCATTTTGTTATTTTTTTAATAACACTTTTATTTAAAAGACATATAATTCGAGTCAATTTAAAAGTTTGTTTTCAAATGGTTTCCATGATATATATATATTTTTAAATTAGTGTGTGTTTTTGGACCAACCCGTAAAAACAATTTATAATTTTATCTTAAAATACTAAATAATTGTATTTTGATTTGTTAATTTTAGGATTTCACCCGTAGTATACGGTCCCGCTTTGGATAATTGTAGAAATTAAGGAAAGATCTAAATGATTCAATTCCGGGTCAGAAAAAAAAAACGACCTAATTAAATGCGCAAATTTGTTCTTCAAAAATGTTAATATATATTACACACATACTTTTTTTTCTTCATTGATTAAGTAATATATGTCCGTTTCAAAAAATTTGAATCATAGCATATGCAGAAAAAAATCTAAGGTTTTATTAACTACATATATTCTATAATAATTCAAATAATATAAATATAAGATCAAATAAAAGTGAAATGAGAATCATATATTTATGTATAAATTAGGTAGAGAGGTTTTAGGAAATTACCTCAAATTTGTTATATTAGCATTAAATCATCATATTTGATTTCCTTATCCATAAAAATCGTAAATAATATACCATAAATAAAGAGTTTAGATATAGTAATTAATTAAGAAAATATTTTATATATTTTAGATTTTATTAATTAATTCCGTTTTTAAATTTTGCCAAAAATTAAGGAAAGATCCGATTGAGATTTCCGGGTCAAAATTGAATCAAAATCTGACCCGATTAGGATCCCTTAAAAGTGTTGCAAAAATGTATAGTAGATATTTAAGTATTTGTCCATATATGAATTCTATGAACAAATATCAACTATTCCTAAACTACCCCTTGCATAAGATTGAACCAATTGTTTCAAAAATAATTAAGAAAAATATGTATTAAAATGATAAAGAAGACATGAAGATATATAAAATGTCAAAAATATATTATTTTGTTTTCGTTTTAGATGGATAAAATTTGATCTATAAAGTTTAGAATATGTCTTCTGAAATTAGAATGTATATTCTATACACTCTACATGTTCTACAAAATTTAGATTATGTATTCTACACACTCTACATGTTATACAAAATTTAGAAGTCATTTATGTTCTACGATATTTAGAATACTAGTTTCTACGACTTTTAGAATACATATTTTTTACTTTGTTCTTTGTTCTACAAAAATTAGAATATGTTTTCTAACATTTACTCATGTTATAAGAATGTTAGAAAACATATTCTTAAGATTTTTTTTTATTCTATAAAAATTAGAAAGTACATTCTATCTAATTTAGATTTTTTTAAAAAAAATCTTAAAATATGCAAATTGAATATAGTGAATTTGATTACATCTGCAAATTACAGAAGTTGAATTCTGAATACTTTAAAATTCTTTATACCTAAGTGAATAAATTATAACACAAATTAGAATTTTTCTTTATACTTCACACTTTTTCCTATAGATTACGCTTAATTTCTTGTTTCAAAACCCGGAAAATTATAGTTGCGCTCCATAAAGAAATTGAAATCAAAGGAGTGAGATAGAGAGAGAGATTGAAGAAGAAGAAGAAAAAAAAAGTTATTTAATATGGCGTTATTAGAGAGGAGAGAACAATTACGAAAACTTAATTTTGATGAGCAAGAGAATCAAAGAAGAAGAAGATATGAAATTATCTACGGCAAAACAAATAATGGAATGTAAATAAATATTGATTTTGTCCTATATTTTTTCCAAATTGTTTTTAGAAAGAAATCAATTTAATTTTAAATTTTTTTAATAGTTTAGTAAGATTTTAAAAGACTGGGGGCATATTGAGATTTTAATTATATGAAATCATATATGACCAATATTAAAGTATATATGACCAATCATGAATATAGAATGCATAGATGGACAATAGTTTAATTATTTGTCCTTTATTTCCAATTTTTCCTTAACTATATTTATTCTTTACAAAACGATCTGAACTTTTTTTTTTCGGTCCAAATATCTACACCTCCAATCGAAATAGATAATTCCGATTCTAAACCCGATTAAACCATTAAATCGCGATTAATTATTGTTTCGTATTTAACTAGATCCAACTGTTTTTTCTTTGACCCGATAAACCTAGCTTAGAAAACGAAGTCGTTTGCTAAATATGAAAATCACTCAAAATCTGTTTCCCCAAATTTCCCAGAATCCTAGCACCCAAATTTACTCGTCTATCGATTTTTCTCTAAACATGAAGAACCGTAGATACAATTTAATTCTGTTTCCACAACACACGACTTCGTTTTTTAAAATGTGATATCAACTGGTTCTGGTTAAGGACCGATTTTTATTATTTGCTATTGTATTGGTTATTTGGTTTGATGGTGAAGAAGAAGCAATTAGCCAAACCAACCGGTTAAGACTTAAGAGAAGTCTTTGGTTCTTTGGTTAGAACGGAGAGACAAAAACGGCAGGGTGTTTTACTCTCTACTGTAGAAACAGCAAGCTATTATAGAGGCACTTGTCTTCTTCTCCAGATTATCACCGGTCAGTGTACGGATCCACAAAATCAGAAGAAGAAGATGATGAAGCTCAAAGTGTATGCAGATCGGATGTCACAGCCGTCTCGTGCTGTTATCATATTCTGCAAGTAATTTCGTTGAACTTCCTTCGTTAATTCCGGATTCAGCCATTTTTTTTTCTCATATACATGAGAATTTATTTTTAGGGTTAATGGAATCCAATTCGAGGAGGTTTTGATCTCCTTGGGGAAGAGTCAGCAATTATCACCTGAATTCAAAGGTTCGTAAAATAATCAACGAAAAGGTTTCGTTTTTTTTTTTTTTTGAATTTGGTGTTTAGAGTGAGATTTGTGATCTTAAAGTGTGTCTTCATTGTTTCTCAGAAATTAACCCAATGGGGAAAGTTCCAGCTATTGTTGATGGCAAACTTAAGCTCTTTGAGAGGTTTTTATTTGGATTCTTGCTTCCTTTGTATCGAAACCATTGTTTATGAACCCTAATTTTAACCCTTTGTTTGTTCTTTTGCGCAGTCACGCTATCTTGATATATCTTTCCTCAGCATTCCCAAGTGTAGTTGATCATTGGTAAGTTTCTACTTCGTTTGAGATGTTCTTGATGCAAAGAGTGTAATCATTTTACTTTCAGGTACCCGAATGATCTTTCCAAAAGAGCCAAGATTCACTCAGTCTTGGATTGGCATCACACCAATTTACGCCCTGGTGCAGGTATTCATAACAATATCGATGTTGTATATTCAGATAAGGAATGATCAGCTTCGTGTTTCTGATTACGGTTATTTTACTATCTCAGCTGGATATGTTCTGAATAGCGTTCTAGCTCCAGCTCTTGGTCTTCCTCTGAATCCGAAAGCAGCTGCTGAAGCTGAGAATATACTAACAAAGTCTCTATCCACTCTAGAGAGTTTTTGGCTTAAGGGAAATGCCAAGTTCTTGCTCGGAAGCAACCAACCATCTATAGCTGATTTGAGCCTTGTATGTGAACTGACACAACTGCAGGTACACAAAAAGCATGTTCTTTTATGAACTTTTAGTTGTTTTCTGAGTTTTTTAAGTCATCGAAATACCAATGTAACTAACCATATCAAACATTGTGGAGCAAAAACGTTGCTTCCTTAATCGGTTATGGCTTTTGATTGTAAAATTTGTGCAATTTTATAGGTTTTGGATGACAAAGATCGTCTTAGATTGCTCAGCCCTCATAAGAAAGTTGAACAATGGATTGAGAATACGAGAGAGGCGACAATGCCTCACTTTGATGAGGTCCATGAGGTCCTTTTCAGAGCCAAAGATAGATTTCAGAAGCATCGAGAGATGGAAACCGCATCTAAATCGGGTCCTCAATCTAAGATGTAAGAACAAAAAACTTGAGCACTTTCATCGGGTCTCTATATGAGAGACTCCTCCTAAAAATTATATTGTGATTTTTTTATTTTTTGTGTGAAGAGCTTGGTTATTTTCTTATAATATGAATTCTAACACTCCGTTTAATTTCTCATCCAATTTCATGGATTCCATAATAGTATCCAATTTAGTAGTATTGGTGGGAAGAGTGATGATCCAAACCTCGTTCAAAACACAACCGATCGTAGAAAAACAAGACGCAAATGGAGACCACCTGAAGATGTCATTCTCATTAGTGCTTGGTTAAATACTGATAAGGGTCCAACTGTCGTTGATGATCAAAAAGGATGTGCTTTTTGGAAGAGAATTGGTGCATATTTTTCAAATAGCGCTTCACTTGCAAATCTACCAAAGCGAGAGGGGAGTCACTGCAAGCAAAGATGGGCTAAAATTAACGACCGCGTCTGCCAATTTGTTGTATGTTATGATCAAGCTTTGAATCAAAGAACTAGTGGTCAATCTGAAGATGAAGTTTTCAAAGTTGCATACCAAATCTACTACAACAATTACAAGAGTAATTTCACACTTGAGCATGCATGGAGGGAGCTGCGACACAATAAAAAATGGATTAGTTCAAACACCTCTGAAAATCCTAAGGGTGGTGGAAGCTCAAAGAGAACAAAGTTGAATGGAGGTGGTGTATATTCTTCAAGCTCTAATCCGGAGAGTCAGCCTATAGCTCTAGATGGAGAGGAGGAAGTTATGGATCGTCCTCTTGGTGTGAAGTCATCAAAGCAAAAAGGGAAGAAAGTTGCAACTAAAACAACGATTGAAGAAGAAAGGGAGGCCAATTCTCGATCAAGACTTGAGAACTTGTGGGCACTGAAGGAGAAAGACGTAGAAGAGCAAAAGAAACTAACAAGGATGGAAGTCCTTAAAAGTCTTCTTGGAAGAACAACAGATCAACTTTCTGAAAAAGAAGAAACTTTGAAGAACAGGCTCATTGATGAGATGCTCTAATCTCTATGTTCTCCTTGTGTTTATCTCTGTATTTTGTCTATGTTATTAGTATCAAGAGTCTGTCTGTTTCTTATCAAAGATAAAAGTAAAATTCTAGGGTTATGCTTTTATTAAAACAGAAAATTTCAAGTAATCAAAATCACGAAAATCATGAATTTTGATTTTTGGTCAAGACTTTGGCTCTCGCCTCTCGGACAATTGAATCTCTCTGTTTCTGTATATCAACTAGTCATTCTAGTTAAGGACCGGTTTTTATTTGCTATTGGATTGGTATGATGGTGAAGAAGAAGCAATTAGCCTAATCAATCGGTTTAGAGAGTCTTTGGTCAAAACAGAGAGACAACAAACGGCACGGTGTTTTATTCTCTACTGTAGAAACAGCAAGCTACTGTAGAGACACTTCTCTTCTTCTTTAGATTATCACAGTTCCGTGATCCACAAAATCAGAAGAAGACGAAGAAGAAGATGATGAAGCTCAAAGTGTATGCAGATCGGATGTCACAGCCATCTCGTGCTGTTATCATATTCTGCAAGTAATTTCGTTGAACTTACTTTTGTTAATTCCAGATTCAGGCTTTTTTTTTTTCTCTTATACATGAGAATTTGTTTTTTTGGACTTTATCTTTTGAAGGGTTAATGGAATCCAATTCGATGAGGTTTTGATTTCCTTGGCGAAGCGTCAACAATTATCTCCTGAATTCAAAGGTTCGTAAAATAATCAACAAAGTTTATTAGTTTTTTTGAAATCTGAGTATTGGTAGATTTATGTTTAGTAGATCTGATTTTTATGTATGTGAGATAATTGGTGTAGAATAAGGCTATATACTTAGTAAAAAGCTCGAAAAAATCTTCGAAAAATGGTGAATCAATCTGTTTTCTGTTCTTGACAATAACCAATGTTGAAGGTGAAGTTAGGGAAGAAGCTTCATTTTTAATCCACAAGAACTGAAGAATTTTCTCTTTTTGAAACTGTATCGAAAATGGAAATAATGATAAGAAATGTGTCTTGTTTCTCAGATATTAACCCAATGGGGAAAGTTCCAGCTATAGTTGATGGCAGACTTAAGCTCTTCGAGAGGTTACACAAAAGTTCTTTCTCTTTTGGGTTCTTGCTTTGGTTTATTGACCATTGTTTATGAATCTTAACCGTTAATTCTTTTCGCAGTCACGCTATCTTGATATATCTTTCCTCTGCATTCCCAAGTGTAGCTGATCATTGGTAAGTTTCTACTTCGTTTGACACAAAGTGTAGTCATTTTACTTCAATGTTCATTCGTTTACTTTTAGGTACCCGAATGATCTTTCCAAAAGAGCCAAGATCCACTCAGTTATGGATTGGCATCACACTAATTTACGTCCTGGTGCAGGTATTACACATTATATTCATCAATATTGACAAGTTATATAGTCAAATAGAATGATCAGCTTCCTTTTTCTGATCACGGTTATTTTACTGTTGCAGCTGGATATGTTCTGAATAGTGTACTAGCTCCAGCTCTCGGTCTTCCTCTGAATCCAAAAGCAGCTGTTGAAGCTGAGAAGTTACTAACAAAGTCTCTGTCCACTCTAGAGACTTTTTGGCTTAAGGGAAATGCCAAGTTCTTGCTCGGTAGCAACCAACCATCTATAGCTGATCTGAGCCTTGTATGCGAACTTATGCAGCTCCAGGTACACACTAAATTTCACTGTTTTGTGAGTTTCAATTCATCGAAATACCAATCCCAACTAATCATATCAAACATTTGGAGCGAAAGCAGGCGTTCTTTGCTATCTTTTGGCATTTGATTGTAAAATTTATGCAATTTTGTAGGTTTTGGATGACAAAGATCGTCTTAGATTGCTCAGCCCTCATAAGAAAGTAGAACAATGGATTGAGAATACGAGAAAGGCAACAATGCCACACTTTGATGAGACCCATGAGATCCTTTTCAAAGCCAAACAAGGATTCCAGAAGCAGCGAGAGATGGGAACCGTATCTAAACCGGGTCTTCAATCTAAGATGTAACAACTTAGAACAAAACCGGTTTCAGGGGTCACCGGTTCGTTGAATAAACTCGGTTATCTCCATTGTAAGAAAAATAAGGACTGTAATATTAACTTTTTTGAACTAAATGTAATAATCACTTTATCACCAAAAACCGAGCATTTATAGTTGAGATATCATGATATATTGGGCCTAGAGAGGCCCATTTTTGGTTAATATTTTTTCCGCTAGTCTTCAAATTCTAGCTATAATCAAAAACTAGATCTACCCAATATTTGGGCTTAATGAGGCCCATTTAAATTAATTGAAGAAAAACGACGTCGTCTCGGATCTGACCTAGGTTTTTGTTTCCTCTCTTCGTCTCCCTTGTGTATCTCAGTCTCTCGCTAAAACCCCCATTGAAGCGGCAAATAACGATAACTCCAACGCGAGAACCATGGATCCGAAACCAACCTCAATGTGGAGTTCTATTGTGAAGAAAGATCCACCTTCAAAGCCTCCGGTTAACGACGGAGCTCCGGCAGCGATTCTCGGTATGGTCGGAAACTGCAAATCCACAAAGGGAATATCTATGGCTGTTGTTGATGCCAACGCCGTCATCGAAGGAGGCCAGAGCTTAACAAACTTCGCCGACAGATTCGTAACCGTCCCTGAAGTACTCTCTGAGATTCGTGACCCTGCTTCTCGCCGTCGTCTCTCTTTCATCCCTTTCACTATTGATACCATGGAACCTTCTCCTGAATCTCTCAGTAAAGGTACGTAGAGGAGATTTCAGTTCTGGTAACTGAGGTTTTTGAGCTCAATATTGTTGAATTCGATTGTGAAATGTTTTTCTGTATTGTATTGTAACTCTGACGTTGATTGATTTTTTCTGCAGTTATCAAATTTGCAAGAGCTACTGGTGATTTGCAAACTCTGTCTGATGTTGATCTCAAATTGATTGCTTTGTCATACACGCTTGAGGCTCAGGTTCATGGCACCAAAAATCTTAGAGATGTTCCTCCACCGATTCAAACTGTTAGAGTAAAGAGGTTACCTGAGAAGGATTTACCTGGTTGGGGCTCCAATGTGTCTAACTTGGACGAGTGGGAGGCACTTGAAAACGAGACTGAGGAACAATCCAACGCTAACTCCAAAATCCTTCCGTTGAAAGACCTTAACATGAATATTATCGCTTCGGACAATGTTTCTGAGATTGGTTCTGTTGTCTCTCATACTGAGAATCATGAAGTGGATGAGCAGGAAGGTGAGAAGAAGCATAGGCGATACCCGCCCAAGAAAACAGAGATTAAGCTTGAGGGTAAGATGGTAGTGAAGGGAATAGATGCATCCCAGGGGCAATATGATGATGATGATGATGATGCCAGTGATTGGAGACCCGCAGTTAGTAGAAGTACTCACAGAAGGTTTCTTAGAAGGAAGGCGACGTGGGAACATCACAATGCCTTGGCTGAACAAGAAATTCAGCAAGATCAAGAAGCTGACAAAGCTCGACACATGATCGAGGACACAGCTGATCTGCATCAGCAGTCAAATCAGATGTCTAAAGACCCCAATGAAAACCATGCAAAGGATAGCGGAAAGGGTGGTGAGGATCTATCGTCCATCCTAAAAGATATGAGGTTGGAGGAAGATTCATTAAGGGCTCTCCACGAAGGGACCGAAGAGACGAATGCTGAAGCAACTTTGATCAATGGTGAGGATGATATTGAAGTCGAAGCTGAGGGTATCGATGGTACAAATCAAGCGCTAGAGAACTCGGAGATTGCTAGTGAGGCTGGGGATACCTTTGAGGCATCATCGATTGCAGATGATGGTAGCAGCGAGCAGAGTTGGTCGTTGAGAGCCTTATCTGAGTCCAGTGTAGCTTGTATAACTGGTGACTATGCAATGCAGAATGTTATTCTTCAAATGGGTTTGCGTTTGCTTGCACCCGGCGGAATGCAAATTCGCCAATTGCACAGGTACACTTTATGGAGGAGATCTTCCTTCTCTTTGGTTCAAATATTGAAACTTTTCTTTATTAAGGATAATTAGCTGAGAAAGATACAAGTCTTACACTTTATTGCATCTGCATCTTCAGGTGGATCTTGAAATGCCATGCTTGCTACACAGTAACTCCTGAAATTGGAAGAATTTTCTGTCCCAAGTGCGGTAATGGTGGCACTCTACGCAAGGTAGCGGTTACAATAGGCGAGAATGGCGCCATCATAGCTGCATGTAAACCACGAATTATACTTCGAGGGACCCAAGTAAGTACTCTTATAAGCAGAAGCTAACCAAAACACCAAAAATTCCTTGTATTAGTAAAGAATCTTTTCTTCTTTATTTGAATTAGCATTTGAACAGAACCACCTTTGCGGCATCTATATGATCAATTCGTTATATTTAGGTCATTTGTTACTGCTTTTAAACAGAAACCCTTGTTTCCTTTAAAATCTGTAACCCTAATACACAGATAAAAACTTCTCCTGATACACAGATAATCCGAAACCCTTGTTTTTTTTTACTGTCCAGTATTCGATACCAATGCCTAAAGGAGGAAGAGAGGCAATCACCAAGAATTTGATTCTACGGGAAGATCAACTCCCTCAAAAGTTTCTCCACCCTAGGACCAAGAAGAAAGCAAGCAAACCGGTTAGTCTCTTTCGTGTCTTCTATCTCAAACTTAAACCTTTAACTTTGATTGAAAGAATTCTTAAGGTAATTTATGATGTTGTTTCCAGGGTGATGAGTACTTTGTATCAGACGATGTGTTCTTGAACCATCATAGTGATAGAAAGGCACCATTGCAGCCTCCGGTGAGAAAAGCTATGTCGGTTTTCAGCCAGAAAAGAAACCCTAATGACAACCATTACTCTCGTTCTATGCACTGATCTTTGTTTCTCCAACACAACAATCATCTCCTTTACTTTAAGAAGATGCCAATGATTTTGTCTCTTCTTTTTACTTTTTCTTTTTGATTGTTGTCTTAAAGTCCAAAACTTTTTTGAAAAGGTGAGAGAGTTTATAACTTTTATTCGGTTCATAGATATATCCCTCTAATTTTGAGCTACCTGTCATTTTTTTTTGGCTCAACACAATTTCATTTCTTCAAGAACTTGGTATACAAGATTACACCTCCAGTTTATTGGTCTTAACAATAGACCGACCGTATACCTGATAACTTATCCAAGGCAAGGTCGGTACTATCAAAACCGAAGGCAAAATTGAAGCAAAATGTTGGAACAAGTTAATGTCAATGTCATAACTACATTGCCAATTTATTTAGTCCTTTCATCTTCGTCTTCATTAGAAGGCGAGGCCAGCGCGAGCTCGGCCCATGCCAGAGAAGACGAATTGAGTTCTGCAGAAATGGACACCGTGATTCTACTCTCTAGTGTCTCACAAAGCGCTTGAATCGAACAAGAAAGCTTATTCTTGTCTTTTTCATTCTGGTCCAAGTCCAGACATTGGCTTGCCACTTCACATACTGCCTCAAGTTCTTTTTGGTTGAAATGCTTGAGCTCAGGATCCACCAAGCTAGCCATCACATCTGGTGCACCAAGGTTTTTCTCCCTTACCTACAAAATTTAGGAGTTAGAATCAGATCTGAGCATCCACAAGTATTCTCATTTGTGTTTACGGATTAAAGGTCAACACTTTGCAACACGGAACCAATACTTCACCATCGTCGACCACCACCTTGTACCCATTTGGTTTGAAGAGTATAATTTTCGCCGGTTTTGAAAATGGGGTCGAAAAGGTAATGCAAGTATAAGAGAAGGGTTCTTGGCTTCCAAACGCATGAAAACGCATAAACCGCTAAGAGAGAGAGACTTATTATAACTACTCAGCTTTAAGCTTATAGAGAGTAGCTATTCTTACCCATTCAACCAAGCAACCTCTGTCTTGGCAATAAGAAGATCTTCCGCTTACAATTTCCAGCAAAAGTATGCCAAATGAGTAGATATTCCCTTGTAAGTCTAGATCTCGGTGTTCCATTGCATTGGGAAGTACACATATAGCTCCTTCATTACAGATATTCTTCAGGTTCTTCTCTGATCTCACCTGAATCGTCTTCCAGCATTCGAAATCAACCAGCTGCATAGAAAAAAGAGGATCAAAATAAGAGTATAAAGATAGTAGCAAAGCTTAGCTAACCGCATAGAAAAAAAGAGGATCAAATTTACTTTGGGAGTAAAATCTTCAGTGAGATACACTGCAGTTGAGCTCAGCTCGGAGACTGTAAATGGAGGATTGAGTTCAGTATGAAGGTACTTGAGACCACGTCCGATGCCTAAAACGATTTTCATGCGTTTTGCCCACGATGCTAAACTCCCGTCCCCATCTGCATCAAATTTTTATTATCATTTGGTATCAGTTATCTTTACTCTTGTGAAAGCTACCAAAGACAGAGCTCTAAAGAAGTTTGATTATATATTACAGTGGAGATGATCGTATAGAGTCCCGTTTGATGCATACTCAAACACAAGCATTCTTGTGAACGGTGTACTCTCTTTACAGTATCCCAGTAATTTCCCCGCATTCTCATGGTTTAATCTAGCCAAATCCGCAACCTGAAACAATGAAGGGTTCAAAAAAAGTCAGGCTTAGTACTGATGTTTTCTTTCAAGTGACTTGGTGATAAACAAACATCAGAAGAACCTCTCTCTGAAAATTAAGCTCGAGATATCCGGTCCAATCTTCTTCTTTAACGCAGAGAGAGATCACCGCGATCTCAGTCCCACCTTTGATCGTTCCTTTGTAAATCTGACTATCTGCACAAGAATCAATGATGTTGCTGAAGTCTTCACACGCCACTTCTAGCTCTTGTCTTGTATATCTTGAAACATCCTTCAGCATTTCAGAATCTGTAAAAAAAAAACAGTTCTCAGTAATTTTTTCATCTCTGGAAGCTCTTTCAATTTTTTGTATTGAAATCTTAGAACTTCCAAAAGTTTCTAACCAACGTAGACCGTGAACTTCTCCTTTTCATTTGCAGATTTCTTCCAGGGAACGATGAGAGAGCGCTTTATGTTGCACAAGCTACATGCAGAGAAAATTATAACTAGAAAGAGCAAACCAACTGATGATCCCGTGACTATCTCAAAATTCCGAAGCCATATAGGTGATGCGCGATGCTTCTTCTTGGCCACAGTTGCATCTAAGTGAGCTAACCAATTGAAATAATTCAAAAATGAAAAATAAGTTAAAGAAACGATTATCAGCATCAAGAAAGTGAAACTCATATTCTACAAACCACATTCTGAAAGAGGTCTCTGCTTAACATCCTCAGTTTTCATGCAGTTTCCTTGAAAGCTCGTTCTACAATGGTTTTCAATGACACAGAGAGATATTATCAAATGAGAAAGATAAAGGAAAGTTAGAAAAAGGGTCTTATAAGAAATACCTTGGAAGGTAATCCAAGCAATGCGGAACTCTTCCCTCGAAAAAGTTGTAAGAGAAATCTGCCACTTTCAATAGAGAAGACTTGCACAAACCACTGATGTTTGCACTTAGATTTGAAGCATACCTGATGATTCAGACAACCCAAAAAGAAGATAGATTAGCATTGACTGTCCATCTTATGCCACCTTGGACTATTGGCTAAACTCACTTTTTTGATGTTTTCGCGGCAATAGGAATACTTCCTCGAAGCCTATTCCTGTCAATAAGAAGTTCTTTAAGGTGCTTCAAGTTTCCAATCTCTGGTGGTAACTTTCCTATTAAACCATTGGACTGAAGGTTTCTGTGGTGTAAAAAAATGGTTAGTTTCAGCACATTATCGGATAAATGACATTGCAAGCGTCAATGGATCGCGAAAAAAATCTTAAAGATTTTCTCACATTGTCCTAATGCTTGACAATTTCCCGATCTCAGCAGGAATCGGTCCTGTCAAATGATTGTTTCCCAGGTCTAAGATCTTGAGTTTCTCTAATTTTCCTATCTCCTTTGGTATTGTCCCCATTAGCAAGTTCCCACGCAAGATCCTAAAGAAGCATTCAACACAAAAGAAAAAGTCATCTAAACATTTCCAAAAAGTACCCATCATCAAACTTATATTTCAGGTATTGTCAATAGGAATAAAAACCATACAGTTCTTGCAAGTAGGTTATCTGACCAATTTCTGCCACAAGAAACCCTCTCATCGATGTCGCCGATATATTTCTGCAAGTGATCCACATCATGAAACAGATATCAAATCATCATAATACTAGAGTCTTTATATCCATGATAGAAAGAGATCAAAGTTTCTTACATCTTGATAACATGATCCTTAGATGGAGAACATTTAATGCCATTCCAATCACAAGGACTTAAATTGGGGACATTCCAATTAGACATAACTAGCAATGGGTCCTTATAGATAGCTTCCTTGAATCTACTAAGTGCTTCAACTGAATACAAGAAGAACAAAACATCAAAATACTTCTTATGATCAGTCACAAAACTAAAGTTTCTAACTTCCTAGATTAACTCAATGAGCAAGTGAGGCTTAAAAAACTAAACTTTCTCAGCATCCAAAAATTGGCGATAGAAACACATTACATCGAAGAAAATGGAGAAATCAACATACCTTCTTTAGAGGCAAAAGCGTCACAGGAAACAAAGAGGAACCCTAAAACAAGACTCACAAGAGTAAGCTGCATAGCTGAAGATAAGTAAAGTCTCATTCTTTTTTCTCCTAGCTCAAAGATTTCTACAAATTCTAGCTCAGCAAAGGAAGCAAAACCCAGAATTTCTCACTGAGTAGTCATCACAAAGACCAAATAATTTCCAGGAGAAAAAAAAAAAATCTGGAGAGGACAATTAAGAACAATGACAAGAGCTTAAAGAGCAAAGCAAGATTTAGCAGATAAGGAAAATGCTTTAATTAATATTCCGGGCATTGAGCAAAAACCCATTAAAGAAAAAAGAAGTTTCTTAGTAAGTAACAGAGATGGTGACAAAAGAGAGAGACTTGGATTCAAAGACAGTTCTTTTTTTTTTTTGTTCTTTTCTAAAATGGAGAGGAGAAGAAATTTTGCTTTTCAACTTTTTCTTTAGAAAATAAGGATATTACTTTTACTTAAATATTTGTCCCTATAACTTTGACTAAAATCAAGCTTATTATACATTTAATTAGTAATAGATCCCAATTTTATGTAATGAAATTGTTTTATATTTCTTTCCCGTCTAATGCATGTTCTTAGTAATATATGTATTTTGTGTACATGGACAAATGTATGAACATGCATTATCTCTTTGTAACATTTAAAGTCAATATATTACCTGCTTAAAATTTGAAAAGAAGACAAAAATATTACATGAAAACTGATATATGTTTCCAATTAAATTTATAAGTGTTAGGGAATTTTTTTATATGTTAGTGGTAACTATTAGGCTTGTTGCTATGTCGTAATTTAGATTTCAATTTTATTTGTGTTCAAAAAATAAAAAGGATTTCAATTCTATTTACGTCTATATTATGAATTATAGACGACATAAATAATAATTAAAATGTCATTTTAGATCATTAAACTTTTTTTAAAAGTTTCTATATCACATTAACTCAACTGATAAAAGATTTAACGTTTTGTTTCATTTTTTTGTCGGCGATCTCGAACTTTATTTAATAAAAATATAACTCACCATTATAGGAGAAAAAAAGATTTTCAAAAATGGTTAATTTCCTCATAGCCTCTCTTTTTTTCAAAATCAATTAGCATTTACAATAATTGTTGGCAAACAAAAATAAGAAAGGTTCACACGAATTACAAGCAGTATATCATTACCAAAAAAAAAAATTACAAGCAGTATATTTTCTTCTAATTTTCTTCTTTATTTCCTTTTTTATCATTTAATTACTATTTTGGCACCTTTTCTTAAACTTTATCATTTAGTGTTATAAAGTAAATTAGGATCAGAATATAAAAAGGCCCTACTATAACTACTCTAGATTTCTTTCTTATTTTTAAATATCACTATCTATTAAAAATATATTGTTATTTTTGATAACATGTAATATGCGTTTGAACCCAAATTATGATACAACGATAATACTAACACAAATCAATCGACTATATGTTACCGATTTGTCACAAAATATAGTTGTTACTTTTTACTGTTTTAGATTTACGTAGTAATTATGGAAAGTTGGAAACCATTTAATTTAGTGGTTGATCAAATGTTTAATGTTTTTACATCGAGACTGGGATTCAATATTTTTATTTTTAAGTATGTATTATTACTATTTATAAGTGCTGTATACAATTATATTTATTCGTAATGATTGATAACATCATTTATATAGAAAAAATTAAAGTGTTAACATACATTTTAAAAAAAAAAAAACTAACTGTAAATTTGGTGAAAGTCATGTAAATATATGACTGCAAATCAATTTCCTAACAGAGAATTACAAATTCATATTTTGGATAGTGCAGCAGCTCTTGAGAATGATGACTGTATAATGGGAAAAATCCAAAAATAGATTTTATAAACAATTGGGCTTTTTTGAGGGAAAAAAAAAACAATTGGGCTTTTTAACCATTAGATCCGACTCACAGAATGGTTTTTTTACCCATTTGATCCATTTACGTGAAGTCAACGATCTTACAAAAAGTCAAAACAGTACACGTGTACAAATATTAGCCTTCTTCTTCCTCCGCCGTTTCTTTTCTCAAATCTCAAATGTCCTCTTCTTCGTATCTTCCAAGTAAACGAAAATTAGGGTTCATATACACAAAGACCTTCGATCTTATCCACACTGTTTTTTTTTATCTTTCGAAATAAATCGATTAAAGGCATATTCAATTTCGTCTGGGATTGCGTTAATGGCGATGAGATTTCTTCATCTTCACCGAGATCTTGTAAAAGGTAATTCTGGGAAAGCTCTCTCCTTTAGCCGCCTTTTAGGTCTTAGTTTCTGGGTTCGAGCTTTTTGTAATTACCGAGAGATTTTGAGAAATGGACTTCACTCTCTTCAGTTTAATGAAGCTCTTGATTTGTTCAGTCACATGGTTGAGTCTCGTCCTCTTCCTTCAATTATCGATTTCACTAGATTATTGAATGTTATTGCCAAAATGAAGAAGTTTGATGTTGTGATCAATCTGTGCAAGCATTTGCAAATAATGGGAGTTTCGAATGATCTCTATACTTGTAATCTTTTGATGAATTGTTTCTGCCAATCTTCTCAGCCTTGTCTTGCTTCTTCTTTTCTTGGGAAGCTGATGAAACTTGGTTTTGAGCCTGATATTTTCACGTTTACTTCTCTGATCAATGGGTTCTGTCTCGGGAATAGAATCGAGGAGGCCATGTCTATGGTGAATCAGATGGTGGAGATGGGGATTAAACCCGATGTTGTAATCTATACAACAATCATTGATAGTCTTTGTAAAAACGGACATGTAGATAACGCATTGAGCCTTTTCAATCAAATGGAAAACTATGGGATTAGACCGGATGTTGTTATGTACACCTCTCTCGTCAACGGTCTTTGTAACTCTGGTAGATGGAGAGATGCTGATCTATTGCTCAGGGGAATGATGAAGAGGAAAATCAAACCTGATGTAATCACTTTCAATGCATTGATCGATGCGTTTGTGAAAGAAGGAAAGCTTTTGGATGCTAAAGAATTGTACAATGAGATGATTCAAATGTCTATAGCTCCTAATATTTTCACTTATACTTCATTGATCAATGGGCTTTGCATGGAGGGTCGCTTAGATGAGGCTAGACAAATGTTTTATTTGATGGAAACCAAGGGTTGTTTTCCAGACGTAGTGGCTTATACCTCTCTCATAAATGGGTTTTGCAAGTGTAAGAAGGTAGAGGATGCGATGAAAATCTTCTACGAGATGTCCCAAAAAGGATTGACTGGGAACACAATCACTTACACTACTCTTATCCAAGGTTTTGGTCTAGTGGGCAAACCTAATGTCGCCCAAGAAGTTTTTGGTCATATGGTTTCTCGTGGCGTGCCTCCTAATATTAGGACCTACAATGTTTTGTTACATTGTCTATGTTATAACGGGAAGGTAAACAAAGCGTTGATGATATTTGAGGATATGCAAAAGAGAGAAATAGATGGTGTGCCTCCCAATATTAGGACTTACAACGTTTTGTTACACGGTCTCTGTTATAATGGGAAGCTAGAGAAAGCGTTGATGGTATTCGGGGATATGCAAAAGAGAGATATGGATATTGGTATTATTACATATACAATCATCATTCAAGGGATGTGCAAGGCCGGTAAAGTGAAAGATGCTCTTAATTTATTTTGTAGCCTCCCTTCCAAAGGAGTGAAGCCAAATGTTGTAACATACACTACAATGATATCAGGATTGTTTAGGGAAGGGTTAATGCTTGAAGCTCATGTGTTGTTTAGGAAAATGAAAGAAGATGGGGTTTCATAATTAGGTGACACTATAGCATAACTGATCATAATGTTGAGGGTTCTTTGATGATGCTTCTTCAACTTACAGAAAATGATGGTGCAGTAGCAGTTTACACGGTCTTTGTGAAGCGAGGATTATTTGATGAAGCTGTGAGGTTGTTTCGTTTGTGGAAATGAAGGATGACTAGTGTTTATTTCAGACATTGTATTGATCAAAAGTTCTTTGTAAAGAATGTGCAGAAAGCAAATGTGACTTGTTAATGAGTTGGTAGACCACAATTTGTAAGTTACAGATTCATAAATTCAAACAGTATAGGGTCCCTTTGGATAGTGCACATGAATTGAGTTAATTTAATTGAAAATCAAAGTCAATAATGCTACAAGATGCTTAAGTATTCGTTATAAATCAAGGTTACCTAAATATCACAAGTTTTAAAACATCAAAAAGCTTCATCTTCTTCTATCAGTCGTCGTAAGAGAAGGTAATCTTCTTACCGCAGAATCTGCTCATCATAGTAGGTGCCTTCTGTTTCTTCTTATTCGGTTTGGTCTCCAAATTATCTTCTATTAGAAGGTATTGTCGTCGAAGGTACTCTTCGAACCTGGAATAACAAAAATCTTAGTGATCTTTTTCATGTATACCAAAAATTTCACCAAATGTGCTATTGTTAAAAAAAAAAAAAAAAAATACTCAAAAGGCAAATAGTTAAATCCCTTACCAAAGCTTCTCTACAAGGTTGTACCTAATTAACAAAAATACTAACGTTAATCTTCTGTAATGACATTAAAACTATAGATATAAGTTAGAGAAGCAAGTCTCCATATTGAAAATCAATTTACTTGGGTCGGATTGGGTATGGAGCTAACTTAACCACGTCAAGAAAAATAAAACGACCAAGGAAATTTTCACCATTCTTCATTTGCAGCGCCTAGAGTATAAAAGATTTAATCAGCAATTTTACTTTCATAAGTATACTTTCAAATTAGTTTTATACTTTTTTCATCATTACTGTAAATTACCCTCACCTTCTTTGCTTCATTAGCAGAAGAAAACTCAACAAAGCCACAGCACACATGCTCACCCCTATGGTTTACAATAAGTCGAACACCAACAACTTCTCCAACATCTTTGAAGAAATTGATGCTGTGAAAATGGAAGATAAACTATGTCATGAAAAACATGCTCCCAGAACGAAAGAGGAAATTAAAGGTGCTACTTACATATTTGATATTCTAATTCTGTAAAAGAGATTTGCAAAAAAGAGCGTCTTTTTTCTTACCGCAACTTCCTGAAACAGCCATGTGTTAGCAGACTCTAAGGAGAAAAAGACATAAATAAATTGCATAACAGAAAAGTAGATTCATCCCTAGAATAGATCATCTTTCGACTTTGTGGCAACAATTCTGTTAGTAAACGCTAAGTGTTTCTTCTGAGCCTGACATATTTTGAAGATAATAAGAACATGTACCTCAACAAAATCAGGAGTTTCATCATGTCCTTCCACTGCCTCATCTTCTTCTATCAGAAGGCTTTCTCGTCGAATGTAGTCTTCATACCTGGAATATCAAATAACCTTTGTGATCTTTCCATGTATACCAAAAAATTCACCCAATGTGCTTTTGATAACAAAACTTAAAAGGGTTAATAGTTAAATCCCTTACCACACCTTGTGATCTATGCAATACCTATGATTAACAAAAATAATAGCATTAGTCTTTTGTAATGACATCAAAACTCTAGTAATAAGTAACAACCAGTGGTACGTAAACAAATCTCCATAACATGGAAAGTCAATTTACTTGGGTCGTGGAGGGTATGGAGCTGTCTTAGCCACATCAAGTAAAATCTTGCGATCGTGCAAATATTCACCGTTCTTCTTTTCCAACGCCTACAGTAATCGTACTTTCAAATAATTACTTGTATAACTTTTCATCGTAAGTACACACTAATTTTCATGATTACTATAAACTAGTCTCACCTTCTCTGCTTCGTTAGCAGAAGCAAACTCAACAAAGCCATCGCCCAAATGCTTGCCCGCATAGTCTACAATAAGTCTAACATGAACAACTTCTCCAACATCTTTGAAGAAACTGATGCTGTAAAAATGGAGGATAAAATATCAGTCATGAAAAACTTCTCCAAGAACAAAAGAGGAAATTAAAGGTGCTACTTACATATGTGATATTTCAGTTTGGTGAGAGAGATGGGCAACAAAGAGCGTCTTTTTTCTTACAGCAACTGCCTGAATTTAACATCCAAGTGTGTTAGCACCATTCTAAGGAGAAAAGGACTTAAATTGCATAACAGCAAAAAGTAGCCTCATCTAAAGATTCATCCCTAGAATAAGTCATCTTTCAACTTTGTGGCAACAGTTTTCTTCCGAGCCTGACAAATTTTGAAGATTATAAGAACTCGTACCTCAACAAAATCGGGAGTTTCATCAAGTCCTTTCATCAACAAAATCTTATGATCGTGTAAATATTCACCATTCTTCTTTTCCAGCGCCTACAGTATAAAAGATTTAATCAGCTATCATACTTTCAAATAACTACTTGTATATTTTTCATCATAACTTTGTATACACTACTTTTCAAATTACTTTAATACTTTTTTCATCATTACTACAAAACTACTCTCACCTTCTTCGCTGCGTTAGCAGAAGCAAACTCAACAAAGCCATAGCCAACATGCTTACACTCGTGGTTTACAATAAGTCGAACACTAACAACTTCTCCAACATCTTTGCAGAAATCTTTGCTGTAAAAGTGGAGGATAAAATATCAGTGATGGAAAACTTGTTCCGGGAAGAAAAGTGGAAATTTAAGGGGCTACTTAGCTTACATATCTGATATTTTAGTTTGGGGAGAGAGATTGGCAACAAAGAGTACTTTCTGAATTTAAGAGCCAAGTGTGTTAGCACGAATGTAAAGAGAAAATGACTTAAATTGCATAACAACAAAAAGTAGCCTCATCTGAAAATTCATCCCCAAAATAAGTCGTCTTTTGAATTTGTGGCTACAGTTCTGTTATTAAGAACTATGTGTTTTTTCTGAGTTTGACATATTTTGAAGAAACTAAGAACAGGTACCTCAACAAAACCAGGAGGTGTCTCATCTTCTTCTATCGGAAGGCTTTCTCGTCGAAGGTAATCTTCGTAACTGGAATATCAAAAACCCTAATGATCTCTCCATGTATACCAAAAACTTAACCCAAGGTTCTCTAGATAACAAACTCAAGAGGCAAATAATTAAATCCCTTACCAAACCTTGTGATCTATGCAATACCTAATAACAAAAAAAATAAAAGCGTTAGTCTTCTGTAATGGCATCAAAACTCTAGTAGTAAAATACAACCAATGTTAGAGAACCAAATCTCCATAACATAAATCAATTTACTTGGGTGGAAGGTATTTAGCTCCCTTATTAGCCACATCAAGAACAATCTTATGACCGCACAAATATTCACCGTTCTTCTTTTGCAGCGCCTACGGTATAAGAGATTTAATCAGCAATCGTACTTTCAAATAACTAGTTGTATATTTTTCATACTTTTCAAATGACTACTTCAATACTTTTTTCATCATTACTATAAACAACTCTCACCTCCTCTGCTTCGTTAGAGGAAGCAAACTCAACAAAGCCACAGCCCACAAGCGTACCCTTGAGGTTTAGAATAAGTCGAACACGAACAACTTCTCCAACCTTTTTGAAGAAATCGATGCTGTAAAAGTAGAGGATAAAATATGAGTCATGAAAAACTTGCTCGAAAGTAGAAATTAAAGGTGATACTTACATATTTGGTATTTCAGTATCGTAAGGGAGAGTTTCAATAAAGAGCGTCTTTTTTCTTACGGCAGCTTCCTAAATTTTTAACAGCCAAGTGTGTTAGCAAGACTCTAATGAGAAGAGGACTTAAATTGCAAAACAACAACAACAACAAAAAAGTAGTTTAATTGAACATAAAACTTAGGCCTGGGCATAAAACCCGAAATCCGAAAACCGATCCGAAACCGATCCGAAAAATCCGGAACCGAACCCGAACCGAATAGTCACAAAATCCGAACGGATAATGAATTCTCCTATCCGAATTACCCGAACCGAATCCGATCCGAACCGAAAACCGAAAGGATATCCGAAAACCGGAAATAAAAATTATATATCCAAAAATATTAGTTCTATTTAGTTGTAATTTTATAGCAAATAACAAAAATATACTAAATATCCTAGATTTCGAAAAAATTTTAGTTATATTTGTTAAAATTATACATATTTTTGCAAAATTTAATTAAATTTTAGTGAGATTAAACCAATTTTTATTAACATTGAACTATTTTTAAGTTTTTTTTTCCCAAAAACCGATCCGAATCCGACACCTATCCGAACCGAAACCGAACCGATGACTCATAAAATCCGAACGGATAATAAATTCTCCTACCCAAATTATCCGAATCCGAATATATCCGAACCGAAACCGAACCGAAAATTCATAAAATCCGAACGGATAATAAACTCTCATACCCGAATTATCCGAATCCGAATATATCCGATCCGAATCCGATTTGAAATCCGAATGCCCATGCCTAATAAAACTAGTACAATATTCAAAAATTAAACCTTCACTGAGATTAAATTAGGCTGATCAGATTTTGTCTCCAACAACTCGACCTGGTGGAGACTATCAGCAAATCCTTCGGTTATCTCCTGTTACATACATGAGTAGGCATTAGAAGACAGAGTAAAGAAAATTGATCTCAAAGAAGAAGAGGAATCCGCAGAATCTTAGGTTACCTTCTCCTTCTCGGATATTTCCTTATGTTTCTTGAGAATGGGTTTGGTTTCCAAATCATCTTCCGGTTTTCGCTTAGCTAAAAGAAGAGAAGCAAACAAAAAAACTCTTGAGCCAAGTAAGTGGGGGTATAAAACATTAGATAAACGAGCTCAGAGCCAACCAAAAACAAACCCAATAAATTGCTAGAACTGGCCATGGAGAAGATGAAAACAGACGGTTTATGTATTTGTTCAGGGAAGAGTCCGTTGAGAGCAAGCAATAACCCTAAACTACATATATTTATAGAAACAATAAGGAAATTATCTGGTTTGGGCTGCGCTTTTATTGGTACCTTGATAAAGAAGCATATCGTGATCCTCCTCCTTTCTCTCTTCATCTTCTTCTTCCTCCAAATCATCCCACTGTTTGCTCTTGCCAAAGCTCGCTCCAACTGGAATTGGACGATTACATGTTCATTAGCCATTGTGGAACTTGGAAGAATTAGTAAGATACATGTAATCGGGGTTAGAATCTGTGTATCTGATTATTCATGAATTCTGATTAAAACCAAGAGACAGGATTCGATCTCTCATGGTCAAAATAAGGGGCAATTTGGGGATTTTGAAGAAAGACAAGAACTAACCGTGACGGAGGAAGATGAGAGACTCTTTCGATTACTGCCCTCATTGCTCTCATCTGAGAATTCCGATCGACGCCAAATTTAGAGAATTTTGTAGAAAAGGTGAGAGCTTGTTGACGAGTGGAGTGGTGTGAGAAGAAGAAGCAAGAGAACACTTTTTTTTTTCTATTGTCAATTTTTTTTAAAATGGAATCAATCTATAAACCGAACTATACCGAACTTAACCGAGCCAAATTGGGATTAATAGTGGAAATTATTTCTAACTGAATAAAAACGACACCGTATGGAACTTTGAACGTTTTTTTTTTTGACGCAAACAAGCTTTTTTATCGTCGTCATTAGTCAGTTTCTCCGATTTGCGCCGTGTTCTTCAATGGCGCTAAAATTTCACCAACAGATCATATCAGACCTTCTCGAGGACTCTAATGGCGGATTAGTAATCCTCTCCTCCGGTCTCTCCCTCGCTAAATTAATCGCTTCTCTCCTCATCCTTCACTCTCCGTCCCAAGGAACTCTACTTCTCCTCCTCTCCCCCGCCGCTCAATCTCTCAAATCCAGAATCATCCATTGCATCTCCTCTCTTGATTCTCCTACTCCGACGGAAATCACCGCAGATCTTCCGGCGAATCAGCGTTACTCGCTTTACACCTCCGGTTCTCCTTTCTTCATCACGCCGCGGATTCTCATCGTCGATCTATTGACTCAACGGATTCCAGTTTCTTCACTCGCCGGAATCTTCATCCTCAATGCTCATTCACTTTCCGAAACCTCCACTGAAGCATTCATTGTACGAATCGTTAAATCCCTAAATGGCTCCGCCTATATACGCGCCTTTTCCGATAGACCGCAAGCTATGGTCTCCGGTTTCGCCAAGACTGAACGCACCATGCGTGCTCTCTTCCTCCGTAGGCTCCATCTTTGGCCAAGGTTTCAGTTGGATGTGTCTCAGGAATTGGAGCGAGAACCACCTGAGGTTGTGGATATTAGGGTTTCGATGTCGAATTACATGGTGGGGATACAGAAAGCCATAATTGAAGTTATGGACGCTTGTCTCAAGGAGATGAAGAAGACCAACAAGGTTGATGTTGATGATTTGACTGTAGAGAGTGGCTTGTTTAAGTCCTTTGATGAGATTGTGAGGAGGCAGCTTGACCCTATTTGGCATACTCTCGGGAAGAGAACCAAACAGCTTGTTTCTGATTTGAAGACTTTAAGGAAGCTGCTTGACTATCTTGTTAGGTAATAGCTCTCTCTCTCGTCTCTACTACATCAGTATTGTTCTTATGCAAAGCCTTCAAGTTGAGTGGTTCTTCAGTTTCTAACAGCAATTTGTTGTTATATTTATGGATTTTGTGGATAGGTATGATGCTGTGAGTTTTCTGAAGTTCTTGGATACACTAAGGGTATCAGAGAGCTATCGGTCTGTTTGGTTATTTGCAGAGTCCAGTTATAAAATATTTGATTTTGCAAAGAAACGAGTGTATCGTCTCGTGAAGGCAAGTGATGTCAAGTCAAAGGAACTTGTTAAGAATAAGAGTGGTAAAAAGAGAAAGTCGAAGGGCGAAAATGACTCTGTAGAAGCAGGTAACAAAGTGTTGCTCTACATGGTTGTATCTTGCATCTAGTGACTTGCGTGTTATAGATGTTTTAATTTTTTTCCTGATAATTGGACCTGAATCAGTTGGTGGTGAAACGGAAACGAATGTGGTTACTGGCGTTGTTATTGAAGAAGTTCTCGAAGAGGCACCAAAATGGAAAGTCTTACGTGTGAGTGACTGAGTGAGTTTCAGTTTCAATGCCGTTTCCCTGTTACTGTTGATTTAATGGTGGAAGTTGGTTCAGCTAATGACCACATTTGTTCTTTGTTTTTTGACCTCTTTGATTTGGCCGCCACACTCTATGATTGACAAACACGTTTTCCTGGATTTGCCGTATGAAATCGCTTTTATACCTAATGGTGTGCGCGTGATTAATACAGGAGATTTTAGAAGAGACACAAGAAGAAAGACAAAATCAGACTCTTTCTGAGGAAGAAAGCAGTGACAACAATGGAATAGTTCTTGTGGCTTGCAAAGATGAGCGGTCCTGCATGCAGCTTGAGGATTGCATCACAAACAATCCACAGAAGGTCCAGTTAGATAACTATGTTTTGCAAGATTTTACGTCATGCATTAACAACAGACAAGAACCATTCTCTTAAAAGCCAACAACCAATTCCATAATTTGTCTGGCCCACACAAATCATCTCATTTTACCTACACTTGTGCAGGTCATGCGGGAAGAATGGGAAATGTACCTGCTGAGCAAAATTGAGCTCCGTAGTGTGCAGACACCACAAAAGAAGAAACAAAAGACTCCCAAGGGTTTTGGGATTCTTGATGGAGTAGTTCCGGTTACTACGATACAGAACTCGGAGGGTAGCAGTGTTGGTAGACAAGAGCATGAGGCTCTTATGGCTGCTGCATCTTCTATTCGCAAGCTAGAAAAGACAATAGATATGGCATCTGGGAATAACAACCCAGAGCCTCATGTTGATAAGGCTTCATGTACCAAAGGAAAAGCTAAAAAGGATTCACCAAGTCTTCGGAGATCCATAAGAAGTTGCAATAAGAAAACGGCAAACAGTAAAGCTGAAATCATAAAAGACCCAGAGAATGAAGAAAGAGCTAGTGAAGCTAGTACATCAGCCCCCCGAGAAGCCAATGCTGTTCACTCCAGCGGTGCTAGAAAGCTACCGCCTGTGCATTTTTATGCCTTAGAAAGCGATCAACCTATACTAGATATCTTGAAACCCTCTGTGATCATTGTCTACCATCCTGACATGGGTTTTGTCAGGGAAATTGAGGTGTACAAGGCAGAGAACCCTCTGAAAAAGCTGAAAGTTTATTTTCTTTTCTATGATGAGTCTACAGAAGTGCAGAAGTTTGAAGCAAGCATACGTCGAGAAAATGGAGCGTTTGAATCATTGATCAGGCAGAAGTCTTCAATGATGATTCCCGTTGATCAGGTTTGAAACTCAAATCCCTACATTTTGAAACAAAGCCTGTGTGAGTTTCTTTTCGTGCTTCAAAATTTACAATTTGACATGAACGTACATTAGAACAACTCTGATTAATGGAAAGGTTGCTCAAACAAGTTTATAATAATTTGGATCAGACCAAGTGGATGAAACTTTCAACTGAAATTTTACGTTATCCTCTTGTTTTTCCACCCTGGATTCCAGTTTTTTCCCCTGCTTTCATCTCATCCATCCTGTGCTATAAACTTGGAATTAGGATGGGCTCTGCATGGGGTCAAATTCATCTACAGAGTTTCCAGCTTCAAGTACTCAAAACTCAATAACCCGAAAAGCAGGCGGAAGAAAGGAAATGGAGAAAGAGACACAGGTTCGTATCTCAGTACTGATCTGATCTCCAAGATTAACTCGATTTGGGAAAGCTTTTACTTGAAAACTTCAATGGTTTTCTCACCAGGTAATAGTTGACATGAGGGAATTCATGAGCAGCCTACCAAATGTTCTTCACCAGAAAGGCATGAAGATAATACCAGTTACACTAGAGGTCGGTGACTATATCCTATCTCCTTCAATATGCGTGGAGAGAAAGAGCATTCAAGATCTTTTCCAGAGCTTCACATCAGGTCGTTTATTCCACCAAGTTGAAATGATGTCCCGTTATTACAGAATACCCGTTCTTCTCATCGAGTTCTCTCAAGACAAAAGTTTCTCCTTTCAGGTGCCCTCTCAAATTTCAAGCTTCACAGTCAAAATATTTTCATGTTCTTCATTGAGTTTGGATCAGTTATTTTTTTCTTTTGCAGTCTGCGAGTGATATATCAGATGATGTGACTCCATATAACATCATATCAAAACTATCATTGCTCGTTCTGCACTTTCCTCGGTTAAGGATATTATGGTCTCGAAGTCTACATGCAACCGCAGAAATCTTCACTACCTTAAAATCCAACCAAGATGAGCCCGATGAGACCCGAGCAGTGAGAGTTGGTGTGCCTTCAGAAGAAGGTATCATAGAAAATGACATCAGGTAAAAGAAAACTCTCTTTCTTAAACTGCAAAATCAGTTTTGTTTATTTGCGTTGGTAAAATATCGAAATTGACTCATTATGTGAAACAGAGCCGAGAACTATAACACATCAGCAGTAGAGTTTCTGAGAAGGCTTCCTGGAGTTTCAGACGCAAACTATAGAACGATAATGGAGAAATGTAAGAGTTTGGCTGAGCTCGCGTCTTTGCCTGTGGAGACATTAGCAGAACTCATGGGTGGTCACAAAGTTGCTAAAAGTCTCAGAGAGTTTCTTGACGCTAAGTATCCGACTTTGCTATAAAGAGAGAGGTAACACTTATTTAATTTAGAAGCTCAATCACAAAGCTGCTTAGTTATTTCTTGTTCATCTGTGACATTTGATATAGATTAGTTTTAATATTCTCCATTTCTCCATTTGATCATTTATGAGTTGATTGATCTGTTTTAACAGTTATACTAGTGAGCATACTTTGATTGTATTTAAATCTTCGTTTTCAATGAGTAGAGTGCCCTCCTTGGTAGTGTGGTAAAAACAGTAAAAGTATTGAATTGGTGATTTCAGATAGAATCTATTTTTGGTCAAGATTTGGATATTATCTAAATGATGATAATATGCAAACTAACATAAATAATTATATATCCATGATATATATTACAAATAATAAATACACCCAAAAAGAAAGGCCAAAACTCAAAACTCACTTTTTCTCTCAGAAAAAAATATATATAAAAGGGAGAAACTATATATATGTAAAACAATAATTGAAAAAAAAACTATATATTGAACATAAGAGAAATTTGTACAATACTGCACCATTTGATTCTTCTGAGAATATCGGTTTTACCTCTTCTTGGCATTTTTAAGATAACGTACAGTCATAACAAGTTGTTGTCTCTCACCTTCAACTTCTGCAAATCTTAGACTTATCTCTGAATATCTCTCTTGCATCTCCTTCAATTCCATCTCCATCAATCCATTTTGCTCTCTTAGTGACGCTACTTCTTTTACCAAATCTTGAAGATCATTACTGTATAAACAAAACAAACAATGAGAAATCATTGTATTTTCTTCAGTTTATGTTGGTTCATGAACATACATACCTCTTATTCAATGGCAAGGCTTCTCTGGACCTTCACCAGCCTGTTCATAAAACCAGAGTTATGTTGTAATGTTTGAGGTCGTAGGAATTTAGATGATTTGATTATCTAAACTACAAAAAAGGTTAATTCTTTTTACCTCTTGGCTATTTTGACTTCGCTCGTAGAGTTTAATCTGCAATTCTTCGATTCTGTCCTTCAATTCCTTTTCCTTTTCGATGAACATCTTCGAAGAGGCTTCCAAAGCATTTTCCTTTAGTTTGATTTGTTCCTAGATTACAAAAGTTTGGCATCAACATCAAAATAATTAGCCAAATAGTGAATGTTCTAGTGTTAGACTGCTTCTTTATCATCTTTGATTCGGTGTAACTCTTTCGCCAAAGATGCCTTAGTCTCCATACTTGATTTGCTCATCTCTTCCAACTCAAGTCTCAAGATTTCAATCTCATCCTTCAGCCTTTTGATCTGCTGTGTTAGATCTGCATTAATATCTTCTTCTTACTTCTTTTGATTCTCTAGATCCTTGGATTTTTCCACAAGATCCACTAACTTTCTCTCCATCTCTTTCGTCTTAAGATCCGTCTTTCCCGAGAGCTCGTTGAGCTTTGCTTCATACTCTACCCTATTTGCTCCGAGTTCATCGTTAACGCTTATGAGAAGTTCTTCTAGCTGACGCTTCTGCATGCGCAGTTCGCGGGTTTCGGTCATTGCTTTCATAGTCACCTTCTCTTTTGCTGCTAACGTAGAAGACATCTGCTCAGAGATTCTCTTGAACTCGTCCTGTATTTTGCCTGCTACACTAGCATTTTTCCACCTCGTCTTCCTCAGGGCTTCTTCGGCTTCGATAGCTTTGTGCTCTTGCTCCACTTTAGCACGTGTGACAGCTTCAAGATCTGCATCAAATATCTGAGCCTGTTTCTCTAATTCTTCTTCCATGCCCTCGATCTGCGTTTCAAGTTCTTTAATGCGGCATAAGGACTCAGAGAAATCCTCGGACTGCTTCTTGAGCTTAGCTTCTAGGCTCTCGACATGATCCTTCGCTCCAGTACGTGTGCTTCTTTTGCATCCATGTGTCCCTTCACAAGCTCATCCAGTGCCTTTTGATCCTCATCGTCATCTGTCTCACTTGTGCAGGGCCTTCTCCTTGATTCTTCGGTGTTCCTCTCGCAGGTTCTTGGTCTGGGAAGACCAACTGTTTTCTTACTTCTTTGCCCCACCATAGCTTCTAGATCTTGCACAGCAAGGATCAACTCGGTGTTTGACTCTTGTGTCTTTTGAAGCTGTAATCGTAGATTAGAATTCAGATCCTTCTCATAATCCAGTTCTTCTCGGGTTTCTTCTAAAAGAACGTGTGGATCCCTTCCTTCAAGCTGCAACTTGTTCCTAATTTTTGCCTCTTCCTTTCGCTTGTCAGATGCTTTAATACTCTCATAATCTACCTTCAGCGAATCCCTCTCCTGTTTCAGGCTAGTGACCTCTCTCAGGAGATCCTGACTTCTTTTGGTCTCTTTAACAATTTGTTTCCGCAGGCTCTGTAGCTCTAGTTCTGAAAGATCTGCTCGCCTTGCCAAAGCTACGAGCTCGGCTTTAAGCTTGTCTACCTCGTCCTATGATGCACGGGGACGTTAATTTTCAGCCGTCTCACGTCCCAGTTTCGTTTCGGGGACGGGTACTTGATGGGGACAGCCTAAAAACGTTTCCCCCACGTTTCAGAGTAGTTAGGGACGTCAAGCAAAAAATGGAAACGTGAGGGAACATATACGGGGACGTTTCCAATGAGTTTTTGGAAATAAATTAAGTGTCCTCCTTTTAGAATAGGCAACTTAACTATTTTTCCTACAAAAAACTCAAACGTAAAAGGAATTAAAAGGCATGTTCTAGGGGTTTAACATAAGATTCCATGGAAGATATGAGGTTCTTTGAGTTTTCCAACCTTTAGATGATCCAGATCTTTGAAAATCAATTCCTCAATATTAAGCTTTTTTATGTTATTTAGAATATTAAATCAAAAAAAAAAATAATGTTGAGACTTATATTTATATTTAAGGGTATTATATATATATATATATATGTATATGTTTTATTGAAGTACCCATGCCGTACCCGTATCTATGAATTTTTATTTTGCCGTTTTCCGTCCCCGTTTCCGTACCCGTTTCTAGTTCCCGTACCCGTTTTGGTGCTACTTAGACCTCGTCATCCGAAGAACTTTTTGTTGTGTCTCTCAGGCTGGCATCGTTTGAACTATTCATGGAGTCATCAGTACTGATTCCCTGCTCAGAACTTCCTGACCACTCGGATTCTGATATATGAGGCTCTTCATATACATACATTTGTAACCGAATGGTGATGCATAGTTGAGTGATTTTGCTGAATGTTATCTCCTCTGTTTTCAACTTCTCCCAGTGTATCCAGTTCAGAGACACTGTCAAAGCTTGACAACGTACTATCAGATTCAATCGATGCTCGACGCCTCAATTCAGCAATCCGGGAAGCTTTACCAAATGGACCTTCCTATAAGAACATACACAAATAGAATTTTGAACTTCTGGATACACCAATTGCTTCAATAATCAAGAATATGGAAAGAAAAAAAGTCATTATAGAACATAATTACTGTACCTCTTGTGAATCACTTTTATGACTTTGATCTGTTTCAATACTTAAATGGGATTTCAAATCTTGACCCCATGACCTTTTCACCAAGCTATCGTTTTCTTTCACCACTCTGTAGAGCACACAGACAAAACAAACAAAGACTCCCATTAATAAATCCTAAATGAATAAAGAGATTTGCAAGAAAGAAAGAAACTTCTTGTCACCTTTGCGGATCCGCATTTTCTAGCTGCCTTTGTATTGATACCTGATAATGAACCAGTTCGAAGCTCAGTACAGAAAGAAAAAAATATCATTCAAAAGACAAAGAAGGAAGAATCATGTGAGCTTTTTCCTTAGGATGCAAACACTGTAATGTCTCATGACAAACATTAATGCAAAGAAAGAAAGAGAGAAAGAGAGCTAACGTGCAACATTGCATTTGAATTTGAATTCTGGAGAGGAAGAGAAACATTGCAAGTTTTAATTGCATCACAATATTCAGCAAAATCAATCGAAGTCTCTCCCACAACACCAGATTTTGCAAAAAAAAAAAAAAAAAAAAAAAAAGGCTAAGAACATCTTTTGGAGGAGTATATATCTGCAGTATATTAATGAATGATGAAGAGTCTCTGCAAATGTCTCCGTCGTCGATGCAGATGACCACAATCAGTACCTTGGACAAAAGCTCACACAAGATTCTTATATATGTTGCTTGACAGACCAAGTAATGGTTACTGCTGCTCATTCATATGTTCAAATCATTTGCGCAGAGGATGTTATCTGCAAGCTTACAGGTACGAGAGATATATATCGTATGGTTTTTCTACTTTCTTGTATCGGAGGCTAAATATGCTCACATATACTTGCAAAACCAGACAAAATCTTCAGCAAGAAGCCTTTCTTCTGGAAAACCGAAAAGTATTTGCTCATATGTTCAAATCATTCATATGATATTCAGTCATATAATCAGTCATTCATATGTTCAAATCATTTGCGCAGAGGATGTTATCTGCAAGCTTACAGGTTAGGATATGTTTATAATGCTTGCTTTTTTTCGCTTCCAGCCTGCCTTTGCACAACAAGAGAGACGTCAGGTATTTGTGCACCCAGTTGCTCAGCAAGAAGCCTTTCTTCTGGAAAACCGAAAAGTATTTGCTCGTAAATCTTTACTATTGGTGGCTTTTTGGTTCTGGCACTTTGTATTTGTGGCACATGTTACTTTTCATCAGAAAGCCAGAAAATTACACAACATGTCTCTTTGAGCACCTTGCTGGATTATATCCTTTTCATTTCAGATGAGGTTATCAGAAGTTGTATTTCTATTTTCAATCTTCTCTGCACCTGCTACTAAAGCATTTCTGAATTCGTGGACAGTGCAATGTAGCCTGAGTCGATCGGATATTAAGATTCTATAAGATGAATACAAACCTTTCTTGTCAGATGAGGCAGCGTATATACATTCACTGCAGGGTCAGGCGGAGTATCTGTAGTGACGTTGATTTGTGCTTAACCACCTCCGCATGCTTGCTGCAGGGAATTTCTTATATTGCTAGATGCCATTGTGGAGTGTTGGTCTAGCTTCTATATACGATGCTCTTTTTGATGAGATATCTTATGTTGAACCATTTTTGTTGTGTGTATGTTAGAACTGTCACAAGGAAAAACTTTGGGAATTGGCTCGGGGGAGAAGCAAGTCCTGCTTCCTTGCTTCAGTTGTATGTTCTGACTATGGAAGTCTAACAGAGGCCGCTATTGGAGTACATGACATCATCGGTGAGTTAATGTCAGCTGTAGAGACTCATTGTTGGATTATAAGCATCTTTGCAATAGGTCACCTTTTTTTGCTCCATATTAATTAGAATGGAATCATTCGTTTTATCAGTGAGTTACGTTGGGATCTATAAAGAGATTCATGTTGGATTTTAAGCTTCTTCATATAGAGGTTAAAACAGCAACCAGCAGAGGAATTGAAGAGGAGAAAGGTGCTAATATGTGTGAATATATCAGTAGGTCGGTCTTTACAAGTTATCTTTGTAATTTTCCAGAGACTTGTTCCTTGATGTGCTGTTTACAGTACTGGGTCAACTTTCATCCTCCCTTGCTTTGAAACGGTAATTCAAAGAACATCTAGCGGTAATTGAAATATACGGTCACCTTACAGTCTTTACTGGTGTCAAACTTATTGTTTCTAACTGCAGTTCCTATTATAATAAAGATGGCACCAAACTAGAGGAGCAAAAGGTGTGTAACCTGCATCCTCTTCATGTGATCTCTCATTGGCATTTACCAACACAGTTATCTTTCCATTTGTTCTATCTTGTTTCTTTCCCATATGAACAGTGAAACTGGTCAAGAAGGACAGTCTTCTTGATTCTCAACTTGTCAACAAATCTTCTGATGATAGAGCAAAAGATGTGGGTTTGTTTTTGAGGAATGAATCTACCACGTCATCTTGTTTTGATCAATCCTCTGTTTCATCATCATCTGAGGACAGAGATGATCAGACCTCGTTGGCCAGGAATGACTCCTGTAGTTGCACTAGTACTATATGCTATTTAGTCCCCAGATGTAAGTGTTCTTTGAAATTTTTACGGAATCTACTATGTCATCTTGCAAAGTTGTAAATGTTGTTAAGGCATTATATTGCAAAGACGAGGTCATCTGGTAGGGTAAATATTTCATAGTCTTTTTGTAACCAAACTTGAAAGAGACATAAGACTCGTGAGAAAAAACCAAAAAACACAAAACAAAGAAGTCAAGTAAAGAGAACAACCGAGAAAAGCAAGATGGACTTGAACTCTTAAAATTCATTTCTTCTTCTTGCCTTGCTTAAGCTTCTTCTTCTTCTCTTGCTCAAGCTTTTCCTTGTCTTGCTCAAGCTTTTTCTTGTCTTGCTCAAGCTTCTTCTCAGCCTTTTTAATCTCATTCTTGAAATTAAAGATTAAGTTCTCTATCTCCAACCTCCCGTTCTTCACCAAATCCACGTGTTTCTTCATAGCTTCTTCGTATTTAGAAGACACCAAACCTCTTTCATAATCGGCCACATCAAGCGACCGTTCCATCAACTTGAACCGAGAACTTCCAGCAGCTACAAGCCCTAAACTGATGAGACGAGTCCATAAAAACTCAAACTCTTCTTTTCTGCGTCCGTAAGCAGACAACTCCTTCTCAAGTTGCTGCTTCACATTGAGCTCACGTACTTCAACAGGTCTAAATTCTGTAGAGAGAATCAAAGCTCATTACAGTAGTTCTAAAACGTAATTCCCTGAAACATAAAAGAGACAGTTGAATCACCTCTCTTTGTTCCAGCTGTTGAAGCTCCAACGTCAAAACAACCTCTCTTAGCCTCTACAGATGTTTCAACAGGTCCAACTTCAGGTTTACACGATGAAACAGAGGACGCGAAATCTCCTGAAACAATAATTTTTAGAGCTTTTGAGGTCCAAGATCCCATCATATATAGGTAATCGCTAAAGCTTATATACCTTCACTCTTCTCATCAGACAGATCTTGTAATTGGATCCCAGAAACAACAGCTTGGTACGGGTCCATCGATCTCCTTCAAAGCAAGATGAGATTATGATGTGAATTGTGAACTAGAAGAGTTAAAGTGGTTAATAAAGACGAAAGGGAAAGAAAAAAAAAACCCTAATTCTGGTGTAGGGAAGAAGAAATCTTATCTTATTATATAAAGTTGGATTTTCGAAGTTAGCAACTCACGAGATCTTGACACATGTCATATTCATTGATTCGAGATTTTGACACATGTCAAAAAAATTTGTTTTTAAAATTTTTAAATATATAGAAAGATAATTATGAGAAAATACTAAAATTTAAATAAATTTAAAAATGTAAAAAGATAATGTTAAGAAACTTAAATAATTTTAAATATAAAAAGATAATGTTAATAAAAATTAAATTTAAATATTTTAAAAAGTGTAAAAACATAACTATGATATAGACACGTGTCATATTTATCGATTCGAGATTTTGACACGTGTCAAAAATATTTGTTTTTAAAAAATTTTAAATATATAAAAAGATAATTATGAGAAAATACTAAAATTTAAAAATATAATATTAAGAAAATTATAACTTAAATTATTTTAAAATATAAAAAGATAATGTTAAGAAAAATTTAAATTTAAATATTTTAAATAATGTAAAAAGATAAATATAATTACTTATTATAGTTTTAAGTTATGATCGCATAGAGATGAATTTTTATATTTTCTAATAAGATAGCTTAATAGGATTTCGTATCAGCTCATATAGGTTTATTGCGTTTTATAATTGTTACTATAATTTAATATAATTTTTTTATCTCTACAATAATTATTTGAGAAGTAGAAACGCACTATATTCAAAGTTAGGGCATTGGAGGCCTGTGGTTAAAAGTTGGAATGATTTGTCCTAAACACCCTTAATGAATTGTTCTTCTCGAAATTTCTTCTTCTTCGTAATTAGGGGTATATAAGTCTAATCGTGTGTTGATCTCTATACTAATGTCCTAAACACCCTCGATACGAAATTTTTTGTTCTTAATTATTAGGGGTATATAAGTCTAATCGTGTTTTGAGATGATTAGTCTTAATCACCCTTAATGAATACACTATCAAATCCAGTTTTCTATTTTTTGGTGAGGGTAAAACAATAAAATCGTGTGAATTTTATTAAAATATGGAATATTCCGTTTTTTAATATTAAAATATAGAATATTTCGTTTTTAAATATTAAAATATAGAATATTTCGTTTTTTAATTTTTATAAAAATTTAAGATAGATACTAAAATATATTACGAATATTTTTATCAAGAAATTTTCCAATTTTAAAAAATAAATTTTTAGAGATAATTATGACGGTGTGCCCTAGATATTAAACTATAAATATAGAGCCGCAACCACACCATTAGAACTCAGATTCGTTAGCCTAAACATATCGTTTTGATATTATAGCTTTTTTTTTTGTTGCTTTGGTTCTTTTATGGATCGATTTATTTTGCGTTATTATTTTTTACCTTTTCTTGAGGTTATATTTGTATTGTTATTATCTTGGTCTATGAATTATCAAGATTGTTATTGTTTTGCTGATTTGTATCGTGTGAATTATGTTTTAGGTAACCGCTCATGGGAGTTTCTATCAAGAGATTGAATGAACGAGTTGATGAAGACATGCCTCTTCATTAAATTCATTAACAAACTTTTTACATCAATCGTGAGTCCTCTTTAATTTTAGTTAGCGCTTCTCTTATGTCTCTTTGTAAATTACTTACAATTTTATAATTTGTGTTGGTTTAATTATTGATAGTTGTCTCTCATCGGATCTGATGTAAAATAATTTTTTACCATGCACTACATAACGAAATAATTTTTTTTTTGTCAATGTTACTCATAATTTTTGTGTTTTTGAAGGCGGAGCATTGCGCTGATGCGAAAGTGATTTACAAGTTTTTGGAGGTCAATGAGATTGATAAGACACATGCTGTCTACTACATAGCTTATGCTTTGCACATGGGAGTTTAAGAATAAGGTGAAAACTGCTAAGGAGATCTTCAATCTCGGAATCTCTAGGTAATATTTATTACGAATGAATAGACATGTAATCATATATACTTTCATGTTTCTGCTCCTTACATTATAGACCCTTATAAATTTACTGATTTTCTTTGCTTCCATCTACACAGCTTACCAGAGAGACTCATAATTTTCTCAGATTTTGTTTTGCTTCTTCTTTCTCTAATTAGCATATTTCTCTCGATCGATATTTTATGACGGAAGATGATTTGAAGCAATAATCTTCCAATTCTCTTGATTTCTAGGGTTTTTAGATTTCACTATTATAAGTTTTTTCTTTGTTTCGCATATTTCTCTCGATTGTAATCATTCAAGATTGAGGAAGATTTGTAGCGATTATTACTGTAAGAATTCTTCAAATCCTCTTGATTTCTAGGATTTCTAAATTTCACTATTATAATGTTTTCGTTTTTTCTTTTGGTTTTTTTTTTTTTCGTTTTGAAGAGGCTTTTGATATTTGCACAACCGAAAAATTCGTGTTTCAAAGTTTTTTTTCTTCTGTGAATTACAAGTTCTTTCTTCTTCTTTTTTTTTTTGGTTTTAATTGATTTTGTTTTTGGTTCGTGTTTTTTTTTTTTTCTGTAGCGCTTTGCATAATTTGATAAGCATGAAATTGTTGCGATCAGTTGTGGTTTATTGCTTGTGTTTTTCTGTTTTGTTTGATTTCTTTCTTATTTTGTTTTTCATTCGAACCCAAGAGAGATCATAGGCAGACACTCAATTATTAGTGTTTTGTTAGAATCTTTCTTTGGCACATTGTCCCGTCGAGTTTGGACCCATGGCTTATGGGAAATTTTGACCTGAGACTGAAAACCGATCCTTTATCCACGGCTTATTATTTCGACATATATACTTGGGATTGGTTTCAGTTTACTGGTCAAAGATCAAGTTACCCACGGCTTAAAACATCATCAGTCTTTAGACAGAGACTGAGATTCGGAAAACGAATTATTTAGACAAAATATTGGATTGGGTTATGTTTGGTGGAAGGAAAATGGTACCCACGGCTTCAAACATTAGTCTTTAGACTGAGGCTGATTCGACCATTGATCCTTCATGGTACCCACGGCTTGAAAATCTCTAGACATGGATCATGTTCGTTTTGTTCTTTCAGTTTTTAGACAAAGAGACAGTACCCATGGCTTAAACATCATCAGTCTTTAGACCAGAGACTGAGATTGGCTTATGTTTGGTAGAAGGAAAATGGTACCCACGGCTTAGAACATTAGTCTTTAGACAAAGACTGAGATTGGCTTATGTTTGGTAGAAGGAAAATGGTACCCACAGCTTAAAACATTAGTCTTTAGACAGAGAATGAGATTTACTTATGTTTGGTGGAAGGAAAATGGTACCCACGGCTCAAAACATTAGTCTTTAGACAGAGACTGAGATAGACTTATGTTTGGTGGAAGGAAAATGGTACCTACGGCTTCAAACATTAGTCTTTAAACTGAGACTGATTCGAACATTGATCCCTTATGTTACCCACGACTTGAAAATCTCTAGACATGGATCATGTTCGATTTGGTCTTTCAGTTTTTAGACAAAGAAACAGTTACCCACGGCTTTTAACACCATAAGTCTTTAGACAAAGACTTGAGATTCGAAAAAACAATCCTTAAGACAAAAGATTGGATTGGCTTATGTTTTGGTGGAAGGAAAACGGCTTAAAACATCATAAGTCTTTAGATAGAGACTTGAGATTCCATTTTTTATATTTGATGAGATTTTGTTTGTTGTTCTACGGATTTTCTATCAATATTGTTTTACTAAATTTGGGTTGCTTGGTTGGTGTTTTAGGTTTACGGATCATGTAATCCTCAATCAAAACCATGTTCGGACGGACGAGTTGATGAAGAAACAAAAAAAAACTGTTAAGGTATTATTAGTTGTTGTGTTTAGTTTTTTTTGGGTTTGTTCTTAGTTTTGTAATTTAATGATCAGTTGATTACGTTTCAAGATAGCATGCTGGTTTCATAGCAAAATAAGTAATAGTTTTCTTATAGAAATAATTAATGGTTTTACGTTCAGTGGATTTGAGATGTCAAGTCCGAGAAGACAAGCAAAGGTCTCAAATTTGAGATGTTTAGTGAAGATATTCCTTCCATACTCGACGGTGATTCCTTGATTCTGGGGGAGCTTTATTACTTAACTAAGGACAAAACAGATTATGCTTGGTATACCACAAGGTAACTAACTTCCTTCACAAGCAACATTTCCTTTTTTGGTCTTTTAAGCTTTATAGAGAGACTTAATTTTTGAGTTGATTCCATGGCTACAGCATAAAGATTGAAGATGATGACATACCAGACCAGAAAGGTCAGAAGACGATACTGAGAGTAGCGGGTCTTGGTCACGCATTAATCGTTTACGTTAATGGAGAATACGCAAGTACTTAAACAGTCATTTAAGGGGATATAAGACACACAGAGAGAGTTTTATGTAACTTTCTGTTTGCTATATTTTTGTTGTAGGTAATGCGCATGGAAGCCATGAAATGAAAGTTTCGTGTTTGCAAATCCAGTTAACTTAAGAACCAGAGATAATTGTATTTCAATTTTGGGTGTACTAACCGGATTACCAGTGAGTTAGAAACAGTCAAGATCGAGATTATATATGTCACACCAAACAAAGTATAAATTAGTTCTAATCTTTCAGGACAGTGGATCATACATGGAACACACGTATGCCGATCCACGTGGTGTTTCAATCATCGGTTTAAAGTCAGGAACACGAGATTTGATAGAGAACAATGAATGGGGACATTTGGTATTTATGTGCATCTGACCAATATAATAGACCAATTTTATTCTTGGTTTGGGATATAATGAAGATTAATCCGGTTAATGCAGGCCGGTTTGGAAGGTAAAAAGAAATAGGTGTACACAGAGGAAGGATCTAAGAAGGTGAAATGGGAGAAATATGGTGAACATAAGCCTCTTACGTGGTACAAGGTAAACATATAACTCAATAAAACGTTTCTTGTGATGTTTACAGATTTGTCGTAATAAATGGATTCGCAGACCTACTTTGAGACACCAGAAGGAGAGAACGCGGTCGCCATTAGGATGAAAGGAATGGGAAAGGGATTGATTTGGGTTAATGGAATTGGCGTAGGGAGATACTGGATGTCATTCGTTTCTCCACTCGGAGAGCCAATTCAAACGGAGTAGGTTTTTAGAAATATGACTTGCAGGACAAGAAACTGATTTGAGACTAAACCCATCTATATATGGTGGACAGGTACCATATACCAAGATCTTTCATGAAGGAGGAGAAGAAGAAGAGCATGTTGGTGATTCTCGAGGAAGAGCCAGTTGCTAAAATGGTGCCTACAAGCTCTCCCACCAAGATGATCAACGACCTGCTGAATTAGAAGGACGGGATGGTTGCTCTCAGAGAGACGCAAAAGCCTTGAAATGATCAAGGCAGATATAGAGTAAACGTCCTTGAAGAATAGATGAACGCCTTGCGTAAGGAGAATGAGGAGGCGAGGAAGAAGAACAGTAACAAGGGACAATGCTCTTAAAGGGACAGAAAAAGCATAATTATTTCTCACGAGACTGACTTAATCCTGTGATTGTGAGCTATGTGGTTGGATTGGGAACGATGTGAAATTCTCTCTATTGTACAACTAGGATTAAATACAATTAGGCTATGAGACATTTGTAGTTCTCTTTCCTTTGGCCTATGTTGTACGGTTTGTATTCTATCATATGGTAACAAATTAAAAAAAAATTGCCAAGATAGATATGTATATTTGATGCTTTGTAGATTTACATTATTATGATTTGTTCCACTGTTGTGTAGCAAATATACTTTGATATATTGTATTTTTTGATTTGTTAAGTACACGATTACAAGAAGATATTGTATTACTTTGATTTGTTAGGTTTTATATCTAAAACAATAATATTGAGTGTTGCCATCTCTACGATAATTATTTGACAAGTAATTTTACACCATATTCAAAGTGATTAAACGTCGGAATGATTTGTCCTAAACACCCTTAATGAATTGTTCTTCTCGAAATTTCTTCTTCTTCGTAATTAGGGGTATATAAGTCTAATCGTATGTTGATCTCTATAATAATGTCCTAAACACCCTCGATGTCGAGATTTTTTGTTCTTAATTGTTAGGGGTATATAAGTCTAATCGTGTTTTGAGATGATTAGTCTTAATTACCCTTAATTTTTTTTTAATATAGTGTAATCGTTTGGGATACGAATGTCATAATGTCTCGACTTTAAGTATTATGGAATATTAGCTTAAATTTATTTGTTAATTTTTTGGATAATTCTATATCTTAGTAGTTAATATTAGTTTTTGTTAGTTTTCTGATTTAGTTTCTAATTAAAAAGTTAAATTTCTTAAGATAATGATTGATGTTTGCCCTAATCTTAAAGCTATATATATTGTTGATCGGCCAGAGAATTATGTATTATTTTTTCTGTGTCCATTAGATAGTTTTCACCGTTATGGTTTTGTTATACAACTACGATTCTGATGAATCAAATTGTTTGTCATGCAAATATTGTTTTCATTTACCTTTAGAGGTCTTGTGCATATTGTTTGTGTTGTTTGTTTTATTTTTTGCATTAGTTCGTTGATTTATTGTTTTGCTGATATGATTCTTTTGGTATGTGTTTCAGTTTTGTAGAACGTGAGAGGTTCCATCGACAAAGCTTTCGGACGAAGGTGGTGTTGACGAGAAGAAAACGAGGTTTGGAAAGGTACTTCTATAGTTTTGGTTTGTATATTTTAGTTTTCCTTGCGATGGTCCGGGACGAGGTGGTACTTGTGATATTTCGGTTTGGGACACATTTTATTTGGCAGTTTTCTGGATGTTTGTTTTCGTAATTTTTTTTTTTGGTCGTTTAGGTTTCTCTAAATCAAAATTTTTATCATGTTGTTATGATTTTTGCTTTCCTTGATAATTTAAACCGTTTTATAGCAATATTAATATTTTTTACCTGTGTAATTATCGCAGATTGGGTATGTGGAAGCAAGTGAATCTATAGATGCAAAGTTCAGATCCGTGTGCAACCGATTGACAGGTGATCTTCTATCTTTCATGCACTAACAATCTCTTTC